ACCGTGGCCACCGAACCACGTCCCCAGGTGCCACCTCCACACCTTTCTGCTCAAGGAAGTGATGGAGTCACCAAAAATTAGGTGGATGTGGCATTTTGTGACACGATTTAGTGGCCATGGTGGTGTTGGGTTGACTTGACGACCTCGGAGATCTTCTCCACCCTCAATAATTCGCCGATTTTACGCCCGAAACCCCCTCAAATCACTCCCATACCCCACGATTTGACCCTCCTCACGTCCCCACCTCACCTTCACCGAGTCCTGCTCCTCGTCCGACTGCTCATAGAGATCCTCCCCAAGGAAATTCCAGGGGGATTTGGTGCTCTGGGCGGCGTAGAGCTGCCAGCGCCAGAGGGAGAGCGGGCAGAAGGAGAGGCGGAAAGGGAGGCGCCGGAGGCTTTCGTTGATGGGGAAATAATCCTTCTGCAGGTTCCAGTAGTCGTTGAAGTAGAGGATGGGGTAGTAATCACCGCTGATGGCGTCGAACTTCACGTCTGGGGGCAGGGGAGAGAATTAGGGGGAGGATGGAGAGAGACTTCGTTAGCTGGGATGGAGCCCGGCGCGGTTACGGGGTCCTGGGGATGGGAAATTGAGCGCTAAAGGAGGCAAAAATGCGTGACCGGGCCTGAAATAGGCCTCATCCGAGGCCCAAAAAAGGCCCTAAAAATGGCCTTGTCCAAGGCCCCAAAAACAGGGCCCCAAAAACAGGGCCCCAAAAACAGGGCCCCAAAAACAGGGCTGACAAGGCCCAAAAGTGGCCACCTCCAGGTCATGACCGGGCCCAGAAATGGCCTTACCCCAGGCCCAAAAGAGACCATCCTCAAGGCACTGCCAGGCCCAAAAAACCTCCCCTGACTCGCGACCAGGCCCCAAAAAGAGGCCTCGCCCCCAGGCCCCAAAAAATGGCCTCCCCTGAGGCCTGACATGGCTCAAAAATGGCCACCCCTGAGGCACAACTGGGCCCCAAAGAGGCTTCAACCCTTAGGCCCCAAAAAGAAGCCTTGATCCAGGCCCAAAAATGGCCTCCCCTGGGGTGCGACTGGACCCCAAAGAGGCCTCACTCCCAGGCCCAAGAGAGGCCATGTCCAAGGCCCCAAAATGGCCTCCCCCGAGGCCTGACAAGGCCCGAAAGTGGCCACCCCTGTGGTCCAAATGGGCCCCAAAAGAGGCCTCGTCCCCCAGGCCCCAAAAAATGGCCATGCCCGAGGCCCAACCAGGCCCAAAAAACCTCCTCCCAGTTCATCCCAGCCCTTACACTGGTCCAAGGGGGGCGGGACGCTGCCCTTGACCCACGGCGTGTGGTCGTCCACCATGTTGATGGTCAAGTTGGGGTGCCAGTGGGAGATGACCTCCACGGGGCCGAAATCTTCCGCCCTCTGCAACAAGAAGAAGACCCCCGTGGTGTCCCCCCTCATCCCTTCAATAAATTGGGGAAGGGGCAAACCCGACCCTCCTGCTCTCCAAAATTCAATGATAAAACCACAGTCGGGAAGGAATCCTCCACGGTGCTTCCCGAGGAGGCCGAATATTGAGGGATTTGGCCCAAATTCAAATATTTTGGGGAAGTAAAATAGAAAAAATGGGAAAAATGGCCACCTTGATCATTTCGGGGTCGGCCTCCGTCTCCCCCGTCAGCAGATTTTTGGTTTTTTGGAACCGCCGCCGCTTGTATTTGTTGATCACTGGGTGGAAAAATTGAAATTAGCTGGATATTTGCCCCAGATCTGCCCCAAACTCACCAAATATTTGCCCTAATCTGTCCTAAATTAAGACAAATTAATTGATTTTCCCCTAAATTAAGATAAACTTGCCAGGTAATTGTCCTAACCTGCCCCAAATTAGGATAAATTTGTTGGATATTTGCCCCCAATTAGGAGAAATTTGTCAGGTTTTTTGCTCTAATCTCCCCCAAATTAAGAGAAAATTCATGAATATTTCCCTAAATTAGGATAAATTTGCCAGGTGTTTGTCCTAATCTACCCCAAATCTGCCCCAAATTCACCTGACATTTGCCCCAAAGCCGCCAGATATTTGCCAGATGTTTGCCCTAAATTTGCCCGAATCTGCCCCAAATTAGGACAAATTCAACAGATATTTGCCCTAATTTGCCCAAAATGTGTTGAATTTTTTAGGTTGATGATCTTACAGCTCTCTTCCAACATGAAACGATTCTGTAATTTGCCACATATTTGCTTAAATTTGCTCTAATTTTACCTTAAAACTTGCCCTTATTTTGCCCAACATTTACCCTAAATTTTGCCCATTGGCCCTAAATTTTGCCCCAATTTTTGCTCTAATTCTACTAATTTGGCCCCAAAATTTGCCCTTTTTTCCCCAATTTTGCCCCTAGTTTTCCCTAATCTTGCCCCTAAATTTGCCCAACATTTGCCCCAATCTTGCCCTTAATTTACCCCTTATTTTGCTAATTTTCCCCAACTTACTACGCCTTAATTTTGCCCCTAATCCTGCCCTTAATTTGCCCAGCACTTGCCCCAATATTTGCCCTCAATTTGCCCAAATTTTGTCCATTATTTGCCCGACATTTGCCCAACATTCACCCTAAATTTTGCCCTTTATTTTGCCCAACATTTACCCCTAATTTTACCCTAAATTTTGCCCTTTACACCTAATTTACCCCTAAATTCGCCCTAATGTGCCTTAAATTTTGCCCTAAACTTTCACTTTATTTTCCCCTTAATATTGCCCTAATTTCACCCAACATTTGCCCTACGTTTTTACCAACTATTGCCCAACATCTGCCCCAATTTTGCCCAAATTCTGCCCCAATTTCACCCCTAATTTGCTCCAGTTTTGTCCTAATTCTGCCTCAAATTTTGCCCGACATTTGCCCAATATTCACCCTAATTCCACCCTTAATTTCCCCCAACATTTGCCTTATTTGCCCTAAAATTTTGCCTTAACATCTGCCCTAAATTTTTCCCTAATTTTGCCCGTTTGCCCCAACATCTGCCCCAATTTTGCCCTAAAATTTTACCTTAACATTTGCCTTATTTGCCCTAAAAATTTGCCTTAATATTCGCTCTAAATTTTGCCAATTCTGCCCCTTAATTTGCCCTACATTTGCCCAACATTCACCCTAAGTTTCCCCTAAATTTTGCCCTTTATTTTGTCTAACATTTACCCCTAATTTTGCCCCTAAATTTGCCCTAATGTGCCTTAAATTTTGCCCCTAGTTTTTGCCCTAAATTTTTCCCCAATTTTGCCCAACATTCGCCCTAAATTCTGCCCCAACTTCTGCCCCGATTTTGCCCTTAATTTCCCCCCCCCTTGCCTTGTTTGCCCTAAAATTTTACCTTTAAATTTGCCCTAAAACTTTGCCTTCAAATTTGCCCAAATTCTGCCCTCTATTTTGCCCCAAATTCTGCCCAACTCCTGCCCCTATTTTGCCCTAAATTCACCCTAATTTTGCCCCAATTTTGCCCCAAATTAACCCCAATGTTGCCCTTTGACTTTGGAGCTCAACCCAAATCCTCCAGGCTCCCACCCCGACCCCAAAACGGGGGCTCCCAGCGCCCCCGGGCCGTACTTCGGGAGGTGTGCACGGTGGCCAGGCGCCGGTAGAGATTTTTCTGCCTGGGGTCGGGGTGGAAGCCGCTCTTGGTGAAGTAAACGTGGACGTAGATGGAGCCGTTCTGCTGCACGCTCTGGAAACACCACAACAAGGGAAAATTAGTTCTGAAAATACCCCCAAAATGGGCAAAATTGGGCTCTGAAAATAGCCCAAACAAAGGCAAAATTGGGCTTTGAAAATAGCCAAAAAAGGGCAAAATGAGGCTCTTAAAATAGCCCAAAAATGGGCAAAATGAGGCTCTGAATATATCTAAAAAATGGCAAAATTGGGCTCTGAAAATACCCCAAAAAAACCCAAAGTGAGGCTCTGAAAATGGCCAAAAAAGGCAAAATTGGGCTCTGAAAATACCCCCAAAATGGGCAAAATTGGGCTTTGAAAAGAGCTTTAAAAAGGGCAAAATGAGGCTCTGAAAATACCCCAAAAAAGGCAAAGTTGGGCTCTGAAAATACCCCCAAAATGGGCAAATTTAGGTGCTGAAAATACCCAAATAAAGGCAAAAAGAGGCTCTGAAAATACCCCCAATAAGGCAAAATTGGGCTTTGAAAATAGCTTAAAAAAGGGCAAAAGTTGGGCTCTGAAAATATCCCAAAAAGGGCAAAATTGGGCTCTGAAAAATACCCAAATAAAGGCAAAGTTGGGCTTTGAAAAGAGCCAAAAAAAGGGCAAAATGAGGCTCTTAAAATAGCCCAAAAATGGGCAAAATGAGGCTCTGAATATATCTAAAAAATGGCAAAATTGGGCTCTGAAAATACCCCAAAAAACCCAAAGTTGGGCTCTGAAAATGGCCAAAAAAGGCAAAATTGGGCTCTGAAAATACCCCCAAAATGGGCAAAATTGGGCTTTGAAAAGAGCTTTAAAAAGGGCAAAATGAGGCTCTGAAAATACCCCAAAAAAGGCAAAGTTGGGCTCTGAAAATACCCCCAAAATGGGCAAATTTAGGTGCTGAAAATACCCAAATAAAGGCAAAAAGAGGCTCTGAAAATACCCCCAATAAGGCAAAATTGGGCTTTGAAAATAGCTTAAAAAAGGGCAAAAGTTGGGCTCTGAAAATATCCCAAAAAGGGCAAAATTGGGCTCTGAAAAATACCCAAATAAAGGCAAAGTTGGGCTTTGAAAAGAGCCAAAAAAAGGGCAAAATGAGGCTCTTAAAATAGCCCAAAAAAGGGCAAAATGAGGCTCTGAATATATCTAAAAAATGGCAAAATTGGGCTCTGAAAATACCCCAAAAAACCCAAAGTTGGGCTCTGAAAATGGCCAAAAAAGGCAAAATTGGGCTTTGAAAATAACCCCAAAAAGGGCAAAATTGGGCTCTGAAAAATACCCAAATAAAGGCAAAGTTGGGCTCTGAAAATAGCCAAAAAAGGGCAAAATTAGGCTCTGAAAATACTCCCAAAACGGGCAAAATTGGGCTCTGAAAATAGCAGGAAAAAAGCAAAATTATGCTCTGAAAATATCCCCAAAAAGGGCAAAATTGGGGTCTCAAAAATACCCAAATAAAGGCAAAAAGAGGCTCTGAAAATACCCCCAAAAAGGCAAAATTTGGCCAAATTAAGCCACCCAAAATGCCTCCACGATGCCCCAAATTTCCCCAAGCCACAGGGAGCTCCTACCTGGGAGATGTCGACCTCCCCGTAGTGTTCGTAGCAGCCGTCGGCGTTGTCCCCGCTGGTCCAGTCCCCGTAGATGAGGTCGCGTTTTTGCCAAAACAGGGCCGAGCTGACGTTGAAATCTGTGAAGTGCTCGTGCTCCGAGATGTAAACGTAGAGATCCTGCCAAAAAACCCAGATCTGGGCTAAGGAAAGCGAGATTTTGGCAACTGGAATGGTCCTGATCCCTTTAGGCGTAAGATTTGGGTGCAAATTCTGCATTTGGGGCACAAAAACCCCATTAGGGTTGAGATTTGGGTCCAAATTCTGCA